ACTAGATAACTAAGTTCCTTCTATCAATTTAGATTTTTCCTTCATGGTCTATGGATTAGGTTTTAAAATTTACTAGCCAATATGTAAACTTAATGAATTCAAATTATGTACATATTAGACAAGGCAAAAAACTGTAAATCCATGAAAGAGAATATGTCTTCATTTGCATGCTAGCAAATGCAAACTCATATTTCACACCATCAGCTGTGAAAGACTGCAGCCTATGGGAGTGATATAAAGTATGTGCATAGGGGTTATTTTGAGCTTGTTTGGAAATAACTGTATTTTCCATTAAAAACAGCACCTGTGGTCCTTTTCTATTTGGCATAGGTTGAAGAATGTAAAAGAAAACAAGAAGTTTAGTGTCCAGAAACCAGGTGTTGGTAGAACTCAAGGAAAGAGATTATAAATCATAACCAGGATTTATTTATTAAACCCTAGACTTGATAAATTTTCTACTGGATATCCTCTCCATCCAAGTAATGGCAGAATTTGTTTTCAGAAACAAAAAAATTCTCTCTGTCTTTATAACACTGATGAACTGGCAGTGATTAGGTCAAGAGAAAAAAAACATTTCTTTACCTGACAGAATTCTCTACGTTTTGGTCATCTCCAGAGTCGGTTTGTTTCGGGAAAGTTAACACACTGATATAAAACTGTGATTATCCAGGTTCATATAGTGGACAAGTAAGAATTATTGTTATTTCCTGGGCAGTAATCAATCATTTTAGTACCTGGATTGCTTCTAGCCTCAGCATATTTTATTTGCTCAAGTTAGTCAATTTCTCCAGATTATTATTTCTTCACTTGAGGAGGAGAGAGAAGAGTGTCAATCTATTGATTCTTTTGAGGATAATGGTGGTTTTGTTATTTCATGTTGTAGAAACAATTATAGAAGGGCTGTGAGAAGGAATATAAAAGAAATTGAGTGTAAAAACCAAATCAAGGGATGCCATAAATTTTAAAATATGATGGCATTTACTGCAGTAAATTTCATACATGTGAAATACTGTTTCCTGCTGTTAATCTACTCCTGTGTAAATTTGTCAGGAAGATGCAGCTCTATGGCACAGGGTCCCAAGATCCCAGCATCAAGTTTCATATGAAAACCTGGCAAACTGTGATCTCCTTTCTCTTATTATCTGCCAGGTACTCTCCTTCTGCAACCACATTGGGTTGGAATTCTAACAGGCTGTTGATGCACTGATTTCTTGGAGTTCCCTTGGTACTAGCATCATCTGTCTTTCAAGTCATTCATTTATTCTACTTTGTGGAAGAAAGAAGCTGAAACAAGCCTTCTATCAGTTCTGTGGCAGGTGAGACACTGGCTGAAATAATGGAAATCTTCATTCAGGTTCATTGATTGATGTCAGGACTATTGAGTGAGACTTCTAGCAGAAATCCAACAGATGAAGTCTGTAACATTATGCTTTCTACCACTTTTTCTGTAGTTTAGTATTTGATTAATTTCTAAAGACATGCCCCCAAAGTCTGGAACCTAAACTTATTAAATAAAAGGACCCATGGTCATGTGTATCTTTTTAATAATACATGAGTATATGAAAAATATGAGACAATGACAATAATATGCCCTTAATCATTTTTTTCATGGAAATGACCTAATTATTAAAAATGTGGAAGAAAATTTCAGAAAATTAAGCCATGTGCATTTCACATGCCTAATCCATATTGACCTTCCTTTGAAGTATTTGCGATTTTAATTTATACATTATGTAGTACTGTCAGCTTATTTCAGGGATCACTGCTATTTACTATTGTACTTTGTATCACACATGTGTACCACTGCATGTTTAGATTTCATTGTTTGAGCCACCAATTTTTTTTTTTGGATGACAAATAAACTTAGTTCTAAATGGAATATTGAGGTGGATATGATGAGTTTTGTCATGAACTCTAATTTCATGTTTAATATGAATTGTTAAATGGTATGATTATTGTAAGACATGCAAATAATCTGATTCAAGAGTGAGAAAAATATTAGAGTAAATTTAGTATATATATATATGAACCTTAAGTAGTACAGAAGAGTATTAGATTTAATGCAAATAGGTAAAAGTCTTAGAAAAAGATCATTTTAATGACAGGAATGAATCTGATTTAATTGCTGTCATATACTTCCATCTGCAGTAGGGAAAGTCATTTTTTCCAGTTTTTAAATTAAGAAGGACCTTTTTGGAATGATTTCTTTTCTTTTCTTTTGGGTGTGTGATATTAGGGGTCGAACTCAGAGTCTCATGCATGCTAGGTAAGTGCTCTACCTCAGCAAGGAAGATCTTTTTAAAGTTGAGATATGATTTTCAATATTTCCATTTTGTCCCAAACCACCAGGGTCTTGATTTCCCAAAATCTCCTGTATCTTCCATTTTAAAAATGCTTTTTAAACTTAAAAAGAGTCTAAACTTTTCTTACTTAAGAAAATAATATAAAAGTAATATGGAAATCATCACACATATTCAATGAACCTTCCTGCATCCATTAAAATGACATCTATGAAATCTGTATTTGGATTACAGGAAATTTATCATATACCTGTTCTATTACCACGTGTAAAATGTGGAAATGAGAGAAAGTATATTGATATTACCATTGAGGGCAGATTCTTAGTCTCTTTTGCTGGTTTCCCCTAAAAAGTATAAAGGCCAACCAAAGGCTCAGTTTTCACTAGTAATCTCATACAGTCTCCTTACTGAGAATGTAACTACGCACTTCCTTAGAGATGAATGAAGCTGATTGATCAAATCTGTACCTCTATTTGTCTATTTATCTCACATTGGAAAAAGTACTTTTTCTCCCTAAAATGTAAAACGTATGTTTAAAAGTCACACTACCAGAAACTAGAGAGAAAAAGGGAGTTTCAGTACGACTTTTTATCTGAATTTCTGCTAACCTATTGTGATGGTGACCAAGAAACTTATTTAGTTTTATTTAAAAGAAAAACATTAAAGATTTATATGTAGGGGATTATGATTACAAATAGTGATGTAAGTAGAGAGATACATAGAATTTTGTTTGGTTAAATCCTTTTGGATGACTTGGTGTAGTCAGTATATAAGACTTGCCACAAATGAAAAAAACTAACATGAAATGCCCTAACTTCTAAGCACACCTAAATATATGATTGATAGAGAAAAGCTTGAAGATACTGCCCCTCACTGAGGACCTGACTTGTTTTGCTTTATGGATGAAATGTGGAGAAATTATCCTGGGTACCATCTTCACCTTATCTGGAAAAAGCCTGTCTTCCCTAGAAGCTATTGTGCAGGTGGAAACAAACCTAAATTAAAGATTTATATGTAGGGAATAATGGTTACAAATAACCAGAGTGAAAGGTGCAGTGTTGGGGCCTCAGGAAGGCCTGCTCTGGGGTGAGCGCAGCCCTCACTGGTATGGGATGGATTTCTGTCTCTTTTCTAAAAGGGAATGAAGCTCTGTACCAGCCCCCCCACCACACAGCCCCACCCCCAGCACTGTTTGCTTTGCTCTTTGTCTCCTTTCCTACCTCCTCTTGTTACATGAGATGAGCCAAGCCAGGGAAACTTCCTGCCTCTACAAGGATGGTATGCTTGTGCTTTTATTCTTAAGAGTTTTCTCTAAAAATGTTCTAATGTTGGCTAATTTTCTCTCTCTCTCTCTCTCTCTCTCTCTCTCTCTCTCTCTCTCTCTCTCTCTC